AGGGAACCTGCCAATAATAACGAGAGAAAACTCAAATTTCATCTAATCTGAGATACACTGTGGGATACTTCAGCTACAGGCTCTATCAAAATATTTCTAGCTATCTATGTTAAAGAATGCCTCATGGTATCATTTACTTCAACCACCTCAAATCAATTTCATTCCATTATTCTGCATTTTCCCTTCATTCTCTTCCTCATAGCCCAGAATCAGAGGGCAAAGCTTTCTTGTCCTTGCTCCTTCTAGTTCTTTTCTGCTGGCGATCCAGAGGCGAGGTGGCTAATTTATACATCACAGGAAATAATACAGCAGTGAATATTGCTGATCCCAAACTTGTGTACAGAACTACTGGCAAATCTGGGTATAGTCCTTGGAGAATTCCAATTACTGCAGGAATAGCCATTTCTCCAAGAGCACCACCAATGACAAAAAAAGCTGCAGATTTCCCACTTATGCTCGTGTACTGCTCAAGCCAAGAAACACCACTGGGAAATGTGGCGGCCATTGAAGCCCCATACACGGAACTCGCTATCCAGAGACAAAGTGGGTTCTTGTCAAAAAGCACCAGGAATAAAGATGAGACCAGGCTGCCAATGTTGCTCAGCACAATCATGGTTCCAGGCTGTAAACACGTAGCAAAGAAGATTGCCAGGCCCCTGCAGGCCGCAAACGTCCCCCAGAAGATGGAGTTCACTCCAGCCGCTTGGCTTTCCTCCAGGCCAACGTGGGTGGTTGCAAATGAGAAAATGTAAGAGCCATAGGTGATCTCAGCTCCAACATAAAAAAAGAAGAACATAAAAAGAAGGCAGAGGAGGGCCTTGTGATGCTTAGCTCTTCGAGATGCCTGAGCAGATGCTGTGGAATTTTCTTGCATTGAGTTTTTCTTGAAAAACAGAACGAAGAGGAAGAAAGAAACTACAAGTATGTAAGTACCAATGGAAGCATAAGCCCACAGTAAATTCAAGTCATCAGGTACTGCAAACAGAAGGTCTGGGTTGGCTTCAAGTGATTGGTTGAGGCCTGGAGGGCGTAGGTTGGGTTCTGTGTGGTTTTCAGCTGACACTGTTGCTGTTGTCCCCAGGGCCAATTTTGCCAAAATAGGCGTCAAAAATGCACCCAAGGCAAAACTGAAGTGTAAGGCCTGCATGTATGGGGCTCCTTTGTCTCCCCACAGAGCCAAGATAAGGACGTTCCCACCTACGAATGAAAGATATAGAAAATTATTTAAGCTAGTTATAGTAGATTTTTTTAAAAAAATTAAAATAAAAAAAGGTTTATTACCATTTTTTTTCTTCTCATTACCATTAGAGGGAGGATGAGTCTGTATAACACGGCAGCAGCTTTGGGACACTCTCAGTCAGCAGACATTGCCCCTGCTTCAGTTCTGCATTTAAGCAACGCTAACCCTTTGGTGCCAGAAAACCATTTAATGGAATACTTCCCATCATAGTACATAGAACTGCACCAGTGGCAAACCACTGCCTCTGAGAACTGCACCCATCAGTCAAGGATTCTTATAGAATAGTACTCAAATCAGACTGGGGCATATTATTTATAGGCCCATTTATTTGTAAATCTTTCAACATATTTTGAGGCAAACTTTATTCAGCACACAGTGGCCAAATTTTCAAAGCTTTCTGTATGGGACTGATAATCACTTCCAGCACATTTCATAAATATAGACTGTATATAGAGATACATAGAGGCACATAGATAGATACATGCCAAACACATATTCAGGAACCAGAATACTTCAGGACTTTGTTGTGCCACTTAAAGAACACAGAAATACTTTTTCGCATTTGTGTCTACATCGTCTAAACATCTCCAAGATGTCATTTAAAATAATCACATATTTTCAGATAAACATATATTTGCATCCTGTAAATTTACCACCAAGGTGAATGGAAGTATAAAACATTTCTACAGTCCATCAACTAATTTTAGAGTATGGAATGGCAGCTAGGAAGGTGGCTTTGGTAGGAAGCCCATATCACATATATTATGAAGCAGGTGTTCAAAGAGGTGACGATGGGCACTCTTCTGTAATGGGGAAAACTTCTGAGTGACAAAAGAACAGGAAAAGAAAGTAGTGCATACCACAAGTTTCTCTTAGCTCAGTAACTAGGGTGCATTTTAAAATGGATGACTGTCTCTCTGCTTTTAGAGCCAACAAGTGGGGCCAGAGAGATAGTTCAGTGGACTAAGTGCCTGCTTAGGCAAGCGCAGGGACTGGGGTTTGATCCCTGGCACCACGTGTCCCACTGGCCCTGCCCTCCAGGACCTCTGAGCCAGCCATCAAAACCAGGCATGGTGTTGCATGCCTGTAATCTCAGTGCTGGTGAGGCTAAAAACAAGAGAATCACTATGAGTCCGAACTGTGTAGTGAGACCCTGTACCAAATACATTAAAAAAAGAAAAGAGCCAAAAGTGGTTCCTATTTATATTAAATTACCAATTTTTTTCTTACATTATAATGACAAAAGTCTCTCCTGAAATGACAATCTGTTCAGCGTACTGTACTTACCCACTGGACAGGGGTTGTTCCCTGTTTAGGAAGGTTGTTCTGACCAGGTGACACCATTCCCAACTCAGTAAGTCCATGTCACTTCAAGAGCATTGCAAATGACAGTCTGATACATTGTGCTCTAATTGTCATAGCAGTACTGTCCTGTTCCCAGAGATGACACTGGAGAAAGTCACTAACCTGTATCCATAGTGCCATAGGAAATACCAAAAACGGACATCATGACAATCAGTAATACTGCTCTCTTGCAAAAAGGAATAAGATAAAGACCAGTTGCGGTAGCCAATAGTGACACCCCTGGGAAGAAAGGTAATAAACTCTACTATAATAAGCAGTATTCATGAAGAGCCATGCATCCAGTTAACATCATGAAACTGTCCATGAATACAAAATAAGCCCAAATAAAACAGTTATCTTGAGAAGATGGGCTGTGGAGATTCTACAAGTGGTTATTTTATCTAAATATTCTATGATTTTTATGAAATATAAATATGAATTACTAACCCATGAAAATAGTTCTAGTGCTAATAATCAAACTGTCAGTTATATCACAAAGCAATGTTTTACAGCAAAAGACAAAAGGCAAATATTATTTAAATACTTCACACATACAGCTTCTTAAGGGAATTTTAGATCTGAGTTGTCATTGTAAAAAGACAGAAAGAATACACTTGGTGTGGTATTTTTGTGGTAAAAGTTTAAATAAATTAGTTTGGGAAATTTTGAGGGGTATACGGACATATATTGTTGGGCTGGAGAGGTAGCTCAGGTACAGAGTGCTTAGGTAGCAAGAAAATTAGGGTTCAATCCCTTATACAGTAAAAAAAAAATTATATTGTTTCATTTCACTTTGGAAACAAGAGATTAATTATTGGCAATAAATTTTTCTCATTGTTTTCAAAGGACTATACCATGTTAATCCATGAACCTAAATTTTCTTTAAACATGTCAATTCATCCAATAAATGTATGTTGAAAGCTTTGCCATCTATGTGCAGGAGGACAAAGGGCTCTCTGCAGTCATCACTGGTATTGGATCGCAGAGATAAAAGGGTAGCCGATATCAGTCCCTCAGGGAGTCCCGCCATTCTGGACCCCTTCAGGTTTAACCCAGAGGCCATGGAGCCCACCCAGGTTCCAGGTGCTACTTCTGATCTCTGTGCTCCCAGCAGATCTGCCTTCCACCCTCATAAGCAGACTTTTGGTCACCTACTGTGTGACCCTGAAATGGTTTCCAGAAGGTCCCAGAGCAGTTTTCCCCTCATTGCCAAGGTGAGAGACAGCAGGGGCCCAGCTCCATGGAAGATACCTAATACTCCTTATTTCACTAGCCAATCATTCTGTAGGCTGCTGTTTCTCTTATAGACTGTCAAAGGAAAACTCAATAAAAGTCAATGGGGAAGTGAAATTGCTGTTTACTTACCTAAAAGTAAAAAGTGATTCATACAGTCAAAGAGAATTCCGCCGATCACAGAGCCACCCAAATATCCCAAAGCACGACCCACAAATATATGAGAAAGACTGCTTATATTTTGGTTCACATTTCTTGCCAAATCTTGAAATGTGGGTCCCAGGATAGCAATAGTCATTCCCTGAAATTTAAAAAGAACTTTTATTGACAAAGTAATATGCATCTAATTTATGTCTACTATAAAAAAGTGGGGGGTGGGTTACAATGCCATGCAATGGGTTACAATAAATTACTTTAAGGCTGCAAGTAAGGAAAAATATACAATGACAATACAAGTATTATTTGAGCCACAGGCCCTTACTGCTTCTCTTTCAAAACTCTCAATTTTTAAAAACTTATTTAATTCTTGTGGTATTGGATTGCATGCTATTTCTTATTTGAGTAATATCATAAAATGCCATTCTATATTAAAAGGTACCAAGAAGCTTGAGATGTAATTCAGTGGCAGAAAAATTGCCTAGCATGCCTGAAACAACTCAGTGTCATCACTGACACAGAAAAAATAGGTAAATTATATGCTTTCATGCCTGCTAGCTAAGTATTCTGTCACTAAGATACATAACTAGCCTTCTAGCAACCTTGGGGGTTTCAAACTTGTGCTACCCCTGCTTTAGCCTGTGGAGTAGCTGGAATTACAGGAGTGCACCACCACACCTGACCAGGTTCCTGTATTTTGATATGTACCACTTGTGATGCCATGAAAATCTAGAAGTCAAAAATTTAATTGTCAAAATAGTCTCATTTTTGCTCCTGTTAAAATTTAATTGTCAAAAAATTGCAACATTTCTGGTGTAATTGGAGTCCTTCCTCTGAACTACAAATACAGAATATACAGGAAATAAACTATCTAAACATTTTTAAGACTATATTTTTCTTCAAAAAAATCCTTAGCCCATCAGAAGTACAGTTTGTAAGGCTTTCTTAGAAAGTTCTATATGCAACATACAGAATAACTTTTAAAATAAATTTTTACTCAACAATGTATGGTGATAATTTGAACTTGGTCTAGTCTATCTCCATCTATATCAAAAGGTATCCTAACTTCATATGTCAAAAATGCAACCTAGCCAGCCAGTGTGCGGGCACAGTGTATAAGTGGGACTGCCTGGGGCCCAGCAGACCCTCATTCCTGCCAGCACACAGGCCTGATGTGTAAGTGGGATCACCCAGGGCCCTCCAGATCCTCACCCCAACCAGCACCCAGGCCAGACGTGTGTGTGGAACTTCCTCTATCAGAAAGGCCCAGTGTGGATCCCTGCAGCAGAACTCCCTGCAGAGAGGCTAGAGGCAAGACCCACCAGCTGATCCAGGAGCAGAACATCTTGCCAGAGGGGCACAGTGTGTTGACTTCCAAGGGCTGCAGCAGGAAGAAGCAGAGCGCAGAAGCCAGACCCAAGCCACACCCACCCAGACGAGTTTGAACTTGGTAGATCTGGACCTAGTGCTAAGGTAATAACTCTACCAAAACTCTACACCAAAGATCAGACAAGACTGCTATACAAAATGGCAAAGAGAATGGACAAAATGCATTCCCAGGCCCTGAGCTTACCTACAACAAATGCAGAAGACCCTAGCATAGAAGAAATTGGAAATCACACACCTGAAATCTCTGAAATAATAGCATCTGAAGTAAAAACAAAACAAAACAAAACAAACAACTGCTGAAAGGTATAGAGGAAATCAGGTCAGAAATAATCTTTAAAGTAAAAAAAGAAATAATAATGAAAGAACTACTAAGTGCTTCTAAAGAAGACACTGATTAAAAAATAGAGAATAGAAAAATGATGGAATCCTTGAATGAGCAATACAGGAAAGAAATAGAATGTATGAAGCAGACTCAAAGTGATATACAGAAATTTAAAACCTCAATCACAAACTGGCAAAACTGTTTGAATGAAAGTGAAAATAAACATTCAGACCCTGAAGACACCATTGCAGCTAGTGAAAAGGTAAGAAAAAATCTCTTAAAAACAACTAGGATGGAGGAAAAAATAATTTAATACCTGCAAAATGATGCAAAGATGAACAATGTGAGACTAATAGGCATCAATGAGAAGGAAAGAGTCCATACAAATGATATGAAAAGAATATGGGGGGCTGGTGAGATGGCTCAGTGGTCTAAAGCACCTACTTAGAACAAGCTTAGCAAAGCACAGGGACCGCGGTTCAATCCCCCAGCACCACATGCCAGCCAGCCCCCCCCCCTGGTGGGCTGAGCTGGCCCCCCCCCCCACACACACAAATAAATAAAATTAAAAAAAAAAGAATATGGGCAGAAGTAATAGCAGAAAACTTCCCAAATATGGGGAAACAATCTGACATTCAGGTAACAGAAGCATAAAGAACTCCAAATAACATCAACCCAATTAAAACCACACCCAGGCATATAATAATCAAGATCTCAGAAATTCAGCACAGGAACACTATACTAAAAGCCTCTAGAGAAAAGAAACAGATCATATGTAAAGGAAAACCTATCAGAATAATGGCAGATTACTCTTCACAAAGCATCAAATCAAGAAGAGCATGGAGCAAAGTACTTCAAGTCTTGCAAGCAAACAAATTCCAATTCAGACTGATATACCCTGCAAAACTCTCAAGTTTAATGGAGAAGTGAAATACTTCTATGACAAAGAACAAATAATGAATTTCATGACTATAAAGCCAACCCTACACAGACTACTAAAAGATATTCTAGATAGGGATCAAAATGACCACAACTCCATGAATGAGAATGGAAAGAACCCACTAAATAGGGCAAACAATTAAACACAGGAGAAAAAGGGGTATACAACAGCAGTCTTTCAATTATTCTTTTGTATACAGTCGGAAAATATATCCATCAGCATACTGTCCAAATGGACTTCTGCACCCTATGGGTTGTGATTCTGTCTGGGTGTACAGGGTGGATATCAAGGAAATAGCAGTAGCTCAGTTCCACAAGTGACACCTGGCCACCAGGAAGCATCATGGACACTGTCCATGTCCACCATA